ATTTAGGAGCTCCTAGAGGACTCCCTATTTTAGGAGGTGGATAGGGAGCATGGTTGGAGTTGCATTTTTACAATTCATCCCTAAAATTTGTCTAAGGAGGTGGTTTAGGGAGCCCATTGTGGATGCTCTTATATGGTTGGATTCAGAATAAAAAACTAAAGAACCCAACGAGAAACAAATGTCAAAATAATTTACAGAAATTCAGATAATTCAGTAAAAAGAACACTCAAATGTTCAAACAATAAACACAAGTGGCTCATAGTACATCTTGAGTACATATTGAATTATATAGTGACTAAGTTATTTGATTTCATACTTGGATGAATTAGACTATTGGATTTTTATATTTTACAAGGATAATTTGGTGTATTTGTTCAAGAACTTATGTTATGTGAAGTATTATAAATTGTATTTTTATTAGTATGTTTTTATTATATACCACCGGCGTATCGAATCAATCCGAACCGAATATTAGGTTAAACGATCCGAAGTCTACCGAAGTCTTTGGTTTGGTTAATGGAAGAGAAAATGGTCTACCGAAGTCTTTGGTTTGAATAACGGAAGAGTCTTCTACTGTTCCGAACCGATCCGTGCCCATGCCTACCACTGAGCCATGACGCAACCCACATGCAAGGAGGCCCCGCAGCTGCTATGTTGCAGATGTTGTTGCTCCAGGTGTTGCATGCTCTTGCAATAGTGTCTTTTTTTTTCTTCCAACAGTAACCCAAATCAACGATCCAAATTAAAATCCAAGTTATTTTAACGGTGAAAAAAAGATTCAAAGGCTGGAATTTAAATCCAACGGTCAAAATAATATTTAAAATGAATCTAAATTATATCCAACCCCAAAACTCTATAAATACACACCTATTTCTCAAATAAAATTATATTTGTGGAATTTCAATTTTTTTTAAGGTCAAATTGTTCAAAAAATTAAATTATGAAATTATTTAAAAAGATTAAATGAAGAAAAGTTATCCATGAAAAAAAAAAATTAGACTTCCATTCTTAAACAATTTAATAAAGTTGCGGATTTAAAATTTGAGTATGAATGGTCGGGAGAAAAAACGGTTTGAGTTTGGGCAAAACCTAAATAGTTATTTTTTGGAGGGGAAAAATTTGGGTTTAGAACCAAATGGATTGGATAAGGCTTAAAAGAGTCAAATTTAAAATGAATTTGGTCAAATTGTTTTCTTAAAAATTGATGATGTCATAAAAAAGATTATAACATCAATGATTAGATATGTATGTGAAGTCTTTGAAGTTAACTTCGTTATATGGAGATTTTTTATTTATTTTTTTATGACATTAGTAATTTTTAGATGGAAAATCAATGGAAGGGATTTTATAAAAACAATTTGAAATCTTGGAGAGAGTGTTAATGTAAATAACTAATACTTTTAAATCCATAGGACTGTAGTGGAATAAGTTAAAATGTCAAATCTTGCATACTCCTTGATAATGGTCCGCTTGTTATTTTGAAATTCAAACTCAAAAAGAAAGGGAAGGGAAGGAAAGGAGACAAAATAAGCTTAAAAAGTTTTTTTTTTATTTACACCATATTTTTACTAAAGAAAAGCAATAATTGTATTTATAAATTAGGCACAAAGACTATAAGTTATAAGGGCTATTACAAATACCCATAAAGGGTTAATACAAAGATGAAAGCATAGTAACCAAGTAGGGTTAATCCAAATATATAAAAACACATCGGCAACATCAACAGCACAAGGTGTATCTCTACTAATAGCCACATAAGGCCAAAACCATAAACATGAACAAGTCAGACATGAACTACAGTGCCTAAAACTAGCACTACAACTTTAAAACTCTCACAAGTAGAGATTAGACTATATTTGACGCCAACTCACAAAGACTTGACGCAATTATTACAACTCAAGAAACCGTAAACACCCAACTCACCAAAGATTCCAAAGGCAACAAAACTACAAGAGTCGCCAACGAAATCACTAGCTCACCTAAACGAAAATCTAGCTAAAAAACAGGTAAACAATCTAAAGAGAGGGGAGAAATGGAGAGGAAGGGAAGGGAGGGAAGGGTAGAGAAGGAGAGGAGGGGAGAGAGGAGGCAAGGAAGGGGAGGAGAGGGGTGGGGGAGGAGGCCACCACCCTTAAAAGAGGTGGCAACTGGAGCTAAGTTAATGAGGGGGTTTTTTTTTTTTAAAGATGGTAAACTAAAAAGAAAATAATCATAATGCAATTTCCCAATATTTAATCCATGTTACTAGTTACTGGTTACTAGTTTGTTTTTGTTTTTATTTTTTTCCGGTATGAAGTTACTGGTTACTAGTTACTGATGTACTACAATTGTCAAATGGAAAAAACTTACTTGTAATGGGGACATTATTGTTTTGCTATCTCCGGCCAGTAATATAATGATATGAGAAAAAATTATCCCATATATCATTGTGTTATTGACCGGGAATAACAAAAAATGTTATCCCTATTATATTAGAGTTTCTCTCTTATCAAATCCATTTCAAAAGGTACTATTACTATTACTAGTTACTAGTTACTAGTTACTGCTGTACTGATTTTTTATTTTTTATTGGTCAAGTTACTGCTGTACTGATAATTATTCTCTTTTGGATGACTCTCCTGCCTCGAATTACCGAGCCACGTGTTAGATCTTAACTTTCCCAAAAACAAACAAAAACTTTGGTTAACTCTTCATTTGAAAAAGAAGCACGACAATTTGTCTATTACACTGAAAACCGACAATGGGGTATATGTGGATCCATTCTAAGTTTTCCTTAAAATGACCATAACACCCTTGTTTACTACGGAAAAAGAACAAAAATTCAAACACTCTCTAACCACCTTCATTATTGTTGTCAAACTTTTTTTTGGGGGAGAAATTTCACTGTTGTTTTCATCAGGTATTATACACACGTCAGGAAGCTAACTATGTTGCTCATTATTTAGCTAAGAGTGAGTATCATTGTTGTCTTCACTTAATATCATTCGGGATGTTCTTTTAAATGATGAATATAATTGGAGTCAGACGTTAAGTTCCTTTCTCAATTTCTTATAAATAATAAAATTTCTTTTATACTGTATATATTTCCTTAACAAACAGAAATAAGTTGTAAATCAGACTCAAAATTAGTCCGCAAAAGTTTTTTTTCTTTCCAAATATTAGATGCCAACTGATGTACTAAATGATACAACTCAATGCTCTAGAGAATCTCATACATGGGAAGTAGAGTTCCAATTCTACTTTGCTTATCTAAATGTCAATTTGAAAAAGTAATTTTGTTTTGCACTTCAACACACTCTTCAAACTTTATTTTATTGTCTATTGGAACCATTTGTTCAAAGGTGGCTTACCAAACTGCGCACCAAGTTGTTAATTATGAGCAGATAGAAGATTGTAACAAAAAAAGTTTGTAATCTATCTTGGTGATTATTATTCAAGTAAGAAAAATGCTACTCATCCCAAACTTTGTTCCTCTTCATGATGGGCATTTTGGTAAACAAACTGCAAGCTAATTACCATAAAAGATGAAATTATGATCTGTGGGAAAATAAACAATTTTTCACTCCAAAACAAAAGCTTAGGAGACAGAAGCATTCTCCCCTCCAGAGAATCTCTGCACTGTCAGATAACCTCTCTTCCTCCCTCTCTCTCTCTCTCTCTCTCTCTCTTTCTCTCTCTCTACAAAAATCCAACCCAAACCTTCAATCTGCTCAAAACCCAACTCATGGAGATCCCAGAAAAGCTTCTCAAGTTCAAGTTCCACTTCCTCTTTGCACTCATTTTGTGCCTTACCCTTTACACGATAACCCTCATAGCACCCAGATTTCTGACCATTTTGGCTTACTTTTGGCCTCTCTTCCTCTCCACCGCTCTCTTTCTCTTCGCTGTTGTTGTCTTCGGGAAGACCACGTTACCGGTTACCGAGGCTTCCGGTGAAGGCCTCCTGGATTATGTCGCCGGGCAACCGGAACATGTCGTAGAAAGTTACAAGTCCGCGGAGCAGAGCCAGAGTTGAGGAAAAAGATCAGAAATTTTATTTTTTTTCTCTGTAATTTCTAACTTTTTCCTTTTTGCTTGTTTTTTTTTTCTCTTCCTTTTGGGTTGTAGTTGACAAATAGTTGACGGTAAATTCTGGGAAGAATAATGTCCTTAATTGACATATGGGTCCCTTTCATTTTGGCTTTCTTTTATTATTGTCACAATTATTACTTACATTGGTACCTACATTTTTCTTTTTAGCACACTTGATATCATGCGATGAATCTGATTTATTATTAAGTAAATTTTTTGACGATTAACTAAACTAACCTATTATCTTTTTGTTAAGGCACTCACACTAGTGTTTTTCGGCTCATTTTAAGGTATTAAAATATTATGCGAAACCCCATCGGGTTTAGTTTAGTGAAAAATGACATTGACTTGCAAACTAGTGTTTTCATGTTCGAACTCCCATGGTACAGTGGTAGTGTGTGTATGAAAGAAACATCCCTCTTCTTGTAGTCTAGACTATTGCAAGGGCGGATCCAGTCCTTTTTCGGCTATGCGGCAGCTCGGTCAAGAATTTTCAGAAAAAATAAATACATGCATATGTACTTAACATATACGAAAGAGAATTTGCATAAATACATGCATATGTACTTAACATATACGAAAGAGAATTTGCATAAATACATGCATATGTACTTAACATATACGAAAGAGAATTTGCATAAATACATGCATATGTACTTAACATATACGAAAGAGAATTTGCTTGTGGTTCTTGTTTTTGTTAAACTTTAATTTATGTATATAGAGATGCATTAGTAAGTAAATTTCACTCGGCTGATTATCAAATCCTAAATCCGCCAGTGACTTGTACTTAAAAAAATTTATGCAAAATGATAAATTGGGAATGTGAATCTCTGCACTATTTGAGAAAAAGAAAGGTGCTTGGAATGGTTTTATTTGGTTGGCGTATTTCAAAATATCACCTCCTGTCTCATGTGTTTTAATCTTAACTTTGCATAATTATGCATGATTGATGTGGAATATCGCTGCATAATAACAAAAATACATGATTGATTTGAAATATCGTTGTATAATAGTAAAAATATGTAATTGATTTGAAATATCGCCGTGTCATAGTAACATTCCAAGTGTAAGTGAGGGGGATGTAATCTGTAAAGAGAATAAGGTGTGGATTTTGCACTCCGTGAAACTTTTTGGGAGGTGATGTCAGTGCTCGTGATTGGACGCAATGTCGAAGTCTCCCACGATGTGATTAACGTGTAATGGATCTTTTTTTTTGATCGAAACGTGTAATGGATCTAGTGGGCTGATAATGCCCGTTTCATTATCTTCTTTTTGTTGTAATTGTTTGTAATTTTGTGCTTAGGGTATTTAGCTTTTCAACTATTTTTCTGCTTTTTTTATTTTTATTTTTTATATTGCAGTTCCAGTCTTCCAGATAAGCCCTAAATTTGTGTACTGTGCACAGATTCCCTAATTTTTCCAAACCATTCACACCGACATTTTGTTTTTGTTTTCTTGTATTAATCTAATTGTACGATAAAGTCAAGTAGGGGAGGGGCCAATCGTTTAGGTCCAACAAGGTTTTGAAATTACAAAGTTGTACACTTCTCTCTGTTTGTTATACAATTGCTACTATAGTACGAGTAAATTTGTTAGAGCATCCACAATGAGAGAATGTATTTTGGGGGATGTAAAGCTATTTTTACATTATTTTTACACTTTCAGAGAGTGTAAATACGTTTTTTGCTCGAATAAAAAATGATATAAATCCAAATATGCACATTCGATTTGTTTGTGACAATTGCTACTATAGTATGAGTAAATTTGTTAGAATTAGCGATTTAAATGTGTAGAATTTTTTTGTACAAAGTGCTAATCTAAATTACCACGGTATCATACGAGCAGAAGTATTTTAACCCAAAAAACTGTACCATTCATCAGTTGGTCTAGTAACGCTAACTTCATTAGAGGGGATTAATAGCTGTCAAAGTGTATTTAACTCCCACACCAATTCAATAGTTCATAAGAATTCCAAACAAACCAAATGGGTTATTCAAGTTTCATACTAATCAATGGCCTAGAAATATCCACACAACTGTATTTATTAAATTAGTTAGCAATTTTTCGATTCATATTTTCGCTATATGTACTCCAAACTGAATATTTTACAATTTTTCCGCGCTAACACACTCGTGTCGTGCTATGTGACCAAAAAAAAAAAAAAAAACACACCCCTGCTATAGGAGGGCTAAAAGAGGGGTATTGAAATCCCTTGCCCATTAAATTCTCAAGTCAGAAAACACTACTATTTGTTCACATAACTGTAATGGCATACCGTAATATTCTATCAAAGTATGTCGTAGCGTAGGACATCTAATAAGTGGGCATAGTGGCGTATGATGTGATGGTACCTAAAAGTGGATCCACTGGATTATGGCCCCATCTAGCTGCGAGAGAGTTCAAGAAATTGAATGATTCTCCATAAGGTGTGTGGGGACCACATCATGTGTGCGCCCTACAATCATTTCAGTTTGACATCCGAGTGAGGCATTGCTTTGAGTTTGAGGTGACTGCTGGGCTCAGACCCACCAGATAATTACCATCAAGGTATGAATCATGGTAAGGGCGTTTAGATTAGGCTATATCTTTCAACTGCTAGATCAAATTGATTAGTCGTTAGATCAAATTAATTAGTATGATTCAATAATTAAGGTATAAGGTCTTCACTGTAGAATTACTCAAGTATGAATTGTCTTCTGGGCCATAGTAAGGGTTTTGCCTTGCCCAACTCAAAAAACCCAAAGAATATACACAAAATATTAAAAAATTTATTTTTTAAATGGTTTTTTTGGGTTCATGTCTATACAAACAATATTGGAAGACGGGAGCCCATTGCAGACACAAAGGTATCTTACTCCACGAGAACATATCCTTTCCTTTCAAGTAGAAACAAAAATGCAGAAGCAGATAACCCAAAGTTAACATCCTAATCTCTCATCATAATACAAAAAGATTGATTCCCATTTTGATCAATCTCTTTCTATTATTGGCTAGAAGCAGTCCTATTTTGCAATGTGATGCCGACGACAAGTAAAGACTTTCGCGGTCATGAAATGCGAAATTTCAATGTCAGCAATTGTCATTATGCAAGTTGGTTTCACACATTGTATGAATCCAGTAAACCGAAATGAACAATGATCACTAAAATGCTTAGAGGCAGTCTAACCATTTTTAACCAAAGTGTATATAAGGAAGAGATGTATTGGAGTGTTTCTGATATGGCCTCACGTATAAAATTTATATCACAGAAAGGGTAAGCAATCATACACATTACAATCTTACAAGACACTTCTCAGAATGAAAACCAGGATGATGCCAGAGTTACTTTTCTGTCGAAGGTGGTTGAGCAAGCACTATATCTGATGTCGACAAGGTTCCTGACTGATCAACGTCAAGATCTTCGAATTCCTCCATCACGAGTCTAATATCTTCTTGGCTAATCTTCCCCATCTCTTTGAGCTTATATATGATAAATTCAGCAGCCCTATGGAAAAGAAAGGACGAGAAAGAGAATGGAAAGTTTGTTATGAAACTATCAGCAAATTTGAATTCAGAAATAAGCCCATAATATGGAAACAATTTTGGGAAAAAAAAACACAATCCACATACCCAACTACCCCATCACCATCAAGATCAGCTGCCTCCAAATCTAATTTTGTCGTCCTACGAGAAAGAACCCACTTGACCAACGCCCTTTGCCTGCTCTGGGAGTTTAGCTCAGCAATGTAGAGGAAAAACTGAGCTAAACAAATGGTACCTGTCAATATCCAGAATATTGCAAAAACACGCCCTGCTTGAGTTGAAAAGCTCTTATCTCCATACCCCAGGGTTGTGATGGTAGAACAAACGCAATAAAATGCATCGACAAGGTCCAATTTCTCAACAGTAGCTAGGAAGATTGTGCCAGCACTTATGAGTACCAAAAGAAGGATAAGGGCCACAATGCATTTGTACTTCAAACTGTTAGTCTCAGCATCTTTAAGAACTTGAATATGACCAACTTTTTCATGCATATGTAAGGCTTTAACAAGCAATATTTCCTGCTTCTCTACCAAGTAGTCAGCTGCTTTGCTCAAGATCAACCCAACAAGTGCCATTCCTGTGAAGACAAAAGCACAGGCCAGTAGTTTCGAAAGAATGCTGTTTGGCACTAGGTCTCCATATCCAACAGTGGTCATTGTCACAATACAGAAATAAACAGCATCAAGAACTCCATTTGTCTTCTTTCCCTTGATCTGGTTCCTGACGAGGTAGAAGCAGATAGTTCCTATGCCTAAGTAGAAAGCCAAGAATATAGCTACTTTACGAAAACTCGGGTGTAAATTTCGAAAAATGGATTCAGTAACTGGAACCGAGCCAGTGTTGGTTGTCTCTAAGGGTACATGCTCTGCAAGAGGAGCACTTCTACAACGGCGAAATTTTCTACTCTTCAGAGGTTCTCTCACATCATCCATAGCCATTAGGACGATTCACGATTCAGATTTCAGCAAATTACATGACCTGCAAAGCTAGAAGCTTAGGCAGGTTGCGAAATATAGCACGCCAGCTCTAGAATCCTTTAATTAACCGACTGATTTAACAATTAGTTACCAGCAAGTATGTTATTTAGTTGATCTACCATCTTTGAAGCATTGTTTGAAAACATTTTTCTACAGATTCTACAGGCACAACACAAAACTAAGATTGCAATAATCAATTACCCCTAAAACTAAACCTCAATGTTCATCTTCAATCAAAATGGTGAATTCTCTTTTCCAGATTTCATTACAAAATCCAGTTAAAAAAGTTTGACAGCGTATAGAAACTAGATTTATCTCAAAACAACATAAATCTTTAAGTAACTATAAACCCATAAACCAAAAAGGAAAAAAAATGAAAACCCATAAGCCAAAATTCAGTGATTCACCATAATTCTGCATAATCATAATTGGTAAATGCACAATCAGTGATCAATCTCATAGTGAATTTTTTAGTGCAGTGATGAAATGAAAACCTTAAGCTGAGTAGTGAGGGTTGTTGCTGCTCTCAGACCAACTGAAATAACTAACTCTGTTTCAAGTATCAAAGTCAGTTAAGAGAGAGAACTCACCAGCCACCAGACCAGAATAAG